AACAACGCACTGACGGATGATCACATGACACCCACGGCTGTCAGCTTCTTGATCCCGACGCACAAGGCACCCGTTGCGTCTTTATGACGCACCAGGCGTTGTACTAGCTCACACAACAGTTTTAGGGCAGAAATGTACAAGACACAAAGAAACCAAGTAGAGAGTCAACAAGCAAGTCCTTTAAGTGAATAATCAATGTGATCTCATGGGAATGCGTATAAATAGCAAGCCACTCTTAACCCCTAACCTAAGTTAATGCTCCGTCATTGAAGTGAAACGGTCAGTTATGATTAGGCAACAGGACTAACAGCTGCAAAACATCATCGTTCATCTTAAAATGAGTACATAAAAGTTAAATGTGAATACAAACGTCAAAATAAGTCACCAACTTTTGTTTTTGCTCAAGTTATGGATACCGGTGTCCTAGGTAAAAAATTCTTGTGTTAGTTTGACCAAAAGTAACCTGTCAATCACGAGGTAGCCCCGCCCTAAAGCATACCCTGCTTTACTGTCTATTTTACCATAAACTCATGTTTACAATGCTGACTGAGGTAACATATCAAGTGAGAAGTGGGGTCATTTTCTCATTGACGTCTATACAATTAGACTTATTTCTGCTGCCTGGTCAGTACAGACTGCACGGTGTGAAATTACACCTCAAATGCATGAACGGCGTTGTGATAGCACATGAAATAACTTAAGAAATTGGCATGTAATTCATATTTAATTTAGTGAGACCAGGCTGGAATAATGTACTCGTCCTCGTTTGTCTCTCTTCAATGACATCAAGGGAGAATTAAAAGCTGCTCTCACACTGTGTCCAGAAAAACTAATTAATGCCGTTAATGTGGGCCCGTCCTTGGCTGCTGTTTGGGGTCCTGTACCACACGGGTCTCTTTGACCCTCTCTCTCTACAGGGAACCACCAAAGTGTGGAGGAGAGGCCCGCAGCTTCAAAGCTGATACTCTGGGATCCTGAAAATAGAACAGAGCTACTGTATGTGAGTGAGGGGGGGGGGAGTGCAGGACCATATGCTCTTCCTTCTGGCAGTGAAACAAGATGATCTAATTAAATCAAGTGCTAAGTTTTACATGAGTGGGACAAAGCTTCTCCCGCTGAGAGAGGGTTCAAAGTCATATTTTTTAACTATTCGTTTTTGGCACAGATTCAATGCCAAGAATTATACCTCAAAAGCAAACAATATCACATGTTTAGTTCTTATCCCCCTACAGTGAAACACAGTATATGTGGTAGTTTATATATGTTAATATGGTCTACTTTAATCTGTCTACTCTTCTAACTTTAAACATTTTCAATTCTGGAGACATCTCAGACTCTTCTGAGGAATATGTAACAACATCTCAGCTGTGTGTGCATCTCATGACAATAGCAGCGAGGAACAAAGAAAAAACAACAGGACCACAAGACTAATTCATTCATCACATGCCAATGATATCTGCTGACACTTATTTGAATATTATTCGAAATATAAAGACAAACTCATGGGTTATTTACCTGCATTCCTGCAGGGAAAACATCACCGGCTGTGTGTGATGCATTTACACATCAAACATCTCCCTCGCAGTTTCCCTGCTTTCCTTTTTTTTTTTTGTCTTCTAGTTTTCCTCCCATCCTCTCCCATCTGCTCTCATCCCTCCTGGTCTCAAAGGACAGTATTATCCTATCATCTTTATTTGACTAATCTTGAAAGTATAATCGTAAAAAGTGTAAAATTCATTACATTTGTTTTGCATGCTCCACTGCTTCAAATTCAATGATTGCAACCTTGTAGAATTAGGTAAACAGACCAGACACGGCCACAGTTAATAATTGATTTGAGGTGAGTTTGAATATTTTACATTTCAAGCATTCACAAACACAAATGAAATTCAGAAGACTGGCGTCTTGAGCCTCTGCACACCCACACAGGTGTCGCTGCTCAGCTGATTAGACCTCTCAGCTCTGCATCGGCGGGTAGTGCTTGATTGACACCTGCCCGACTCTCCTGGCAGTCTCGTGGCACCTTAGAGATCCTTTTTTGGATTTTAATGAGAGTAAAATGCATTTGTTTTCTAGTGCTCAGAGGTTTGTGTCCTCAGCAGGCATGGGCTTACCCTCCAAAGGGGGTTTAATCAGCCTTTACTGAAACACTTGTGTGGCTGAGCAGGGGCTTTGAAAAAATTACACTTTTGAAGACGTACCCGTAATATTCAACGCCTCCCGTAATCTGGTGAGGCAAAAAGCGATTTCCCACTGAAACTTCTGACTTCCTAGTATAAGTGTGCAATGCACCTCTGAGTAGCGCTTCTAAGATATGTTTTAGGTGTATTCTGTGTTAATCTGTGTTGATGTGATTATTTTCTTATCATATCACAATATTCTCTTATATGACAGTTTCATTAAAAAAATGGTTCTTGTAATTTGTTGGTTTGCTTCACTGGATGAAACAAATTGTCTGTAATTTCACATTCATGATTCGGGTGTGAGGTTGTACTCGGTGTCTACTGCTCTTTAGAACTTTTGCATCATGTAATTGGATGAGCTAATGACTGAGGGCCCGCAGCTGTGAGATGGTGGGTGGAGTCCACCGGTACAGCACACTGAAGATGGCTTGAGGCTAAAATGATTTTTGCTGTTTTCATTCTGTCTTTGCTAATAAAAAATAAATGCCAAAATGAATTGGTGCTTCGAGTAGTTTTAGTCTTCAGTTGGTGGGGTTTAGATGCATCTTCACAAGCCTCTGATCTGACTGATTATAGCTGACACAGGGCTTTGTATACTTGTGAGCCTCTTCAGGTGTGTTCAATTACAACCTGCTGAGCCAGGTGCATCCTCGCTCTCTGACACAAATCAAAATAGCAGCTCGAGGTGATAGCTGTCAACCATAAAATGCCATTTGTTCAAGGAACAAAGACAAAAGGGTTTTTCTTAAATAATACTATACATCATTTTTAATTTTCAATGGAATGAGGATGAGGCTCACACTGTTGGTGAGATGTGTAGTGCTTGGGTGGCCGTCCCATAATCACATTAGAAAAAACCAACGCCTTGAACTGCAGCCACTCCTCAATCTCAAAGTCTATTCGAGCGGAAAAGCCTGTTATTAATAACCCAATATGACAGTCCCTGTGTTGCAACACTATCTCGTTCTCTCTCCGCTATCTGATTCATATGCAAGTAGGTCAGTGGTGCCGGGGCTTCGGCTATGAATGGGCTCTGTTAGCCAAAGATCCACCGGCTCAAAGCAATTACACATTAACACGGGGCTCTGTCCCAAATCTGCCTTTGAGCGTCTGCCGCTTGACCCTTTAGCTATTCCCTTACCAGCCCAGACCACATATTAACAGCACTCCTTAACATTTAATAACTATTCTGTGATTCAATACATAATTACATATATATATTTCTAACTTCTCAAGCAATCATAGAGAGGGAAGAGTTGTCAAATAACAGCAGCGAGGAACAGTTTGCACAACAGTGACACCCAGAAAGACGTTTATGGTCTGCTCAGGTAGACATTACCAATGTATCTTTACATGTTCAACAGCAGTTTGCTGCTGTATTAATGCTCTGAGTGTCGACGAGAGAACTTTTAAGGAAGGGATCTGATAACTTCCGAGTTCATCCTCGGGCAGCTCAGTCTTACCTTGCACACTTCAGTATTTGGTTGATTCGTTTGCTCAACTATAGAACCCCGTGAGCGTCACTTTGCTCCGAACACATTTGCATGTCTCAAAGTGACCTCTTCACACGTCCTGAATCTGCTCTTCTTAAATGTTCCCCACGCTTATTACACTTGGATGCTGCTGTGGTCTTTTGACACATCACCTGTTGCCATAGTTGGAGGGAGCTAAATCCCTACCTGGTGTCGTTTTTTTTTTTCATTTTCCCATCCTCAACCCACTTTGATGCCCCACTTATCACCCCTGCATTGCAAGTAGTTCTGTGCTTGGATGAGGAATTTGCTTCGGTTTCTGCTTTTCTCACCCAGGATGCCGCCTCAGTAGAATCCATGCATTCTGATCGTCCTAAATCCATCCTGTAAACACTGCATTAAATATTGATCATGGTATCATGCTCAACAACTTTTTTTTTTTTTTTTTTTTGCTGTGCTAGGCTTAACGTGCAATATGTGAGGGTTTCTGCTAATGAGACACTAGAAGTGCTGCAAGTCATCATCAGCACCACAGATCAAAGCTTAAAGATACTGATTATTGAAATTTGTGGTGCATGAGAGGGTTAAAAAGATAAGAATTTTATTTTAACTGAGCAAGGTTTGCATGAAATACATAACAGTGCAGAAGTCATCATGAATAGTATACATATCTTTCCTGGCGTATCATAATGCGCTGCTGGCAGTGTAGATATTAGCCTGACGGGATACAAGTGCAAACATTAGCCGCCCAAAAGAGCCTCGCCAGGGAGATTCTTTAAGCAGTCTTCGTTGGAGGCGTCAGCAGCGAACAATCATTGGATGACCGCATGTCCGATCACGAGGTGCTGCCTGAGAACTTTGAGTTGTTTGACACTATTAAACATACATTGTAGTAAATGAATTGTATCCTTACCTGATGCATCTTTAAACAGACATTCATTTAGCATCCATACAGTCTAAACTTTCAACACACATTCTCTCACATACAGCAGAGACGTTGTTAACAGGACTGTATATTTAAATCGATGTGGCCAAACGCATCCCGAAAGGCTCCGTTAAAAAGGAGCTCATGTAAAATGTGTGGTAAATATATATCCTTATAACAATACCTTTTGTTTTCCTGTGTGCATGTAAAGAGGGGGCCTCTTACACTTAAAACTATGGTATCATTTAACATTTATTTTTTTATTTTAAATAGTACAATAAATATACTACAAACGAACATTGGCTTTGGTAGAGTTACAAGTTCATCATTTTCTCTCCACTTCACAATTGTGGACATGACCCTTTATTCATCATTGAAGCACCGATGTATCCCGATGAATAAAACGAGGACTGGAGATCATAACAAGAGAAAGAACTTTACAATTTCATGCATACAGATAGGTTTTAATGCTTCAAAGGACATACAAGAGTGGATGGCCACAGTAAACTTGAATTTATTGACATAAAAACCAATATAACTTCTATCCTCTTATCCTTACACAGGTTTGACAAGACTGTGAAAACAAACAGACAGACAGACAAATGGAAATCTACAAACTGAAAGGAAACAAAACAATCACTGCTGGTTCTGGAAATTTACAAAAAATTTGTTTCTCCTTTTTATTGAGAGGAAAGTTTTTTTTTTTAAATTTGGGTGTACTGCATCCCAATGAAAAAATAAAGCCAAAGATCTACAAGCATAGAGTTATCTTAACAGAAATGGTTCAAGTCACATAGTTGAAGATTTTAAAAAAGGAAACAAAACAAACCTATGTTTGAAGGGCTGTAAAAGTTCTGTGGTAGATACTAGTGGTCATAAGCAAAGAGTGCATAGTTTGAACAAAGAGCATAATTACAATAAGGGCAAAAATAGTAGACCAACAAGCATTTCTGTTTGCGCTTTAATCTGGCTAATTTAGTGACCTGCTTCTACTATATTTCAAAAAATATCAAGTTGTTTCCATTACAAAAAAAAAAAGATTTCAAGCCACCATGGCCCTTAAAGCTAAATATATACCTGAAAACCTTTTGGTGGGAGACTTTAGGGTTTCATTCACCAAACAAAACTTTGGACAATATCCCTTTACGCTTTGGCCCGATCACAACATGTCCACTCGTCAACTCTATCGGTTCGATGTGGCACAGATGATCCAACAGCAAGAGCCATAATGCAGCATCTTAGAGCAGCGATATGCATAGCCAACAGCGACATCTTAGTTTCCTCTTGGTTATTCCAACATTTGGTACAAGTGTCTTATCTGTGCGGAGTCCGCTGAAGCGGGAGATATCATGCTGCACTGATCTGTGAGTGGAGACGTAGAGATATGGCATGCAAACACTGCAGATGAACATGAAAAACCAATAAAAAAACAAATGAAATGGATGCAGCAAAGATCCACCTGCGTCGGATGTAGGGGTTAAGAGAGTCAAGGGGGCTGCTGGCGGATGGAATATTATAACCACAGATTTCCTTTCATTCAAACTCAAAAAAGAAAAATACATAGCACCACAGAAGAGAGAAAATAGCACCTAGGTCTTGATTTCTTTGTTTTCATGAAAATGTGACATCATCTCCCGTTGCATAGTCGGATAGATGTGTTTCAGGAAAATAATGGAGGCTGTTTATTAAGTTAATGATATCACCACCGAGGCATGTGTTCTGTTCAGACGGCACAAAAGGAGGAATATATTCTTTCTTTTTGTTTTTGTTCGTTACGCAAATCAAACTGTCACATAATATCACAGAGCTTGTTTTCTGCTTTTATTTCCATTCTGCTCTTAAATTACAACAAGGTGTGCTTCCACAACTGCAACAAGACAGGACTTCCAAATAAGGTTGCTTTTTCTTTTCCGTTTGTTTTTGTTTTTCAATTTACAAGTCAAATTTCCTCACTTTCAATATATTTCTACAATTTAGATGTTATCCATCGTCTCCTACTTCACAATGAATAAAGTCACATGCACGTTTTGAAGCCAGAAGCAATAAACATTACCAGGAAAAAAAATATACAGAATGTACTTACAAACATAAAAATTATTTATATATATTTATATATATATATATATATATAAGGTCCATTCCAAGGGAATGGGGAGAGAAATTATGCACAAACAAAGCTCCCGTAAGCTAATGAGCAAACAAACCAACAAAGGACAAGTGGAAAAAAGCCGGGGAGATGAGGGAAAACATGAGATCAGAACTTGAGAAAAAGAAAAGAGCCAAATCAAATGGAGTCCGTGGCAGGTACTGCGGCCGTCTGGAACGGCTGCAGCTCTCAGGGTCGCCTTCGTTGTTTAAAGTCTAAATCAAGTGTGATGACATGGGGCTAGGGTTGTGTGTGTGTGTGTGTGTGTGTGTGTGTGTGTGTGTGTGTGTGTGTGTGTGTGTGTGTGTGTGTGTGTGTGTGTGTGTGTGTGTGTGTGGAGGCAGGACCTGACATCCAGTTTCAAAACTTGCATGTGATGGAGAAGGCACACTGAGGTTTCAAGGTTATTTCGTATTCCTCTAGAATTTCACTGCATTCTCAACTTGATTTCATTTTACTCATACGTGTTGCTTTATGGAAACAAAAGTTACTTTTTTACAAATAGAGTTGTCCTATTGTTTTTCAATTGTTTTTTTTATTTTCTGAGAAAACAAATATTATGCTTTTTTTTTCCTCCATTTGTTCGGTAAACAGTCTTAGCCGACGAAACAGACAGGGCCCACTTCAAATCCAAACTTCTGCGCAGAGCCGCCGAAATCGTTGAACATGATGTCCACAATTGGCACCTGCTCCACCTTTGGTGTGTTGATCTCAAGTACTGTCTTTTCATAACCCTTTTTCAACTGTGGGAGAGAAAAGACACAGCAGGAGGCAGAGTTAAGAGTGTGAAAATGTCTTCTTCAGACATAAAAACATCACACACTTCAGCAGGGCTCTTATTGACTGAGCCACCACGACGACAACAGACGCATCATCTTCTGACGGTGTTCATCAAAGGAGCTCCGCCAACCGCTTACGCAAACACACACACACACACACACACACACACACACACATCTCGTTAACTCACCGCACAGCCATCGGCCACCGCGCGGATGTAGGGGTTGTTATCGTAAGACATCTCCTCGTCGTTGGAGCCCAGGAAGCGGATGGCCTTGTCGTAGTTGTCTTGATCCTGGTCGTGCCAGGCCACCGACTGGTAGCAGTTGTACGTCATGTTCTGTCTGGCTGCCGCGCTCAGCAGCCGCATGAAAGTCATCTGGACCACGCTGATGGGGTTGCCCTCCGCATCCACGTAGGAGAGCTGCGAAGAGGTGGAGTTGAACATTTAAAAATGTAACAGCAGGAGAAGGGATCAGTTTAAAGACTGAGGAGTATCCTGAGGATCCTATAAAGATTCACAGAGCACACTGTCGCGTCTCCGTTGTGCAGCGTTCTTGTCTCTTGGGGGATGTTTTGATTAAAGTTATGAGTAGTAATTTGTATTCGAGTTTTACTGCTGTGTTTGGAGTTCTAGGACGTGTTTCTTATCGACAACGGCGTTAGAAAAAGGAGGTGTCATCCGAGGGTACAGAGTTAATATACTACGATGCTCGAGAACACATAAAAAACTAACTAAAAACTAAAATCATAGACGATACATGACGGCATTTTTACCTGATGTTTAAGGATACGGTTGGTGATATTCTATATTTTTCTTCGCGTCAACAAATACTCACAATACTTTCTGACTTACCTACCTTGTTTGTGGCACTCAGCTCTAAGTCCATTCATTCCTATTGAAGACGTAAATATACTAAATTTCCTTTAACAGCAAACCACTGTCGTTTTTAGCAAACGCTACTCAAAGAAGTGAATTTTTGTGGCTAAATAATTATTTAGTACACTATTGTTTACTAGCCAGTGCAACTGTGTGGCTCACTAGTGTCTTTTTATTGTTTTTTTTATAATTTTTGGACAATGGAATTATTGTTAGTGGAACAACTTCATTGCAGGCTTTGGTCTTTTCATGGCGTTTCGTTGAATAAAAGATGTTGAATATTACCCATTTTATTCCTAAGTAATGTGCAAATATATGCAAATGTCTCCAGGGTGAAGATGAGCGTGAAACCAAGTCCTTGGTTCTTAAACAATCAGGTGATGATACTTTGTTGTTGGGATAGAAGGTCGCAGAATATTTTTGATCTGATGCCTGGAAGCTGTACAAAGCTGATAAAACATCCGCCATCAAAGAACAGAAAATAAGCATAACTAAACATCTCATTTAAATGTTGATTTTGTAATTATGTAAAATATATACCCAATATGAGCAAATGATTGTATGTACATGAACATGTAATTATCCCTAATAGGAAATGTGTTGCAGTAATGATATGTTAATTACCTGGTTAATTGGTATAATTAACCTCGATATCGCTTTTTTTTCTTCTTTTTTTTACGGAAAACAGAGCTATATTCAATTAAGCTAATTACAGTGCCTTGTAATCCTCCTGACTGATAAGATGGCAGCTTTGGATTTATGGTTCCGTTTAATGTCCGTCCGTGACCATCTACATACCAACCGTCAGGAATCCATTAGATCCACATAGCCGCTTCGTCTTTCAGACATACAGGACTTACTGAGAGTAGAGCGCATGCAGCATCCACACCGTGCAGCCAGAGCAGCAAACCTGGATGTGGTCTTTCTCGACTGGTTGTTCTTGCACATAAGCGATCGTTCACACGCATGCACATACAAACCCAGAGGACCGACACTCAAACGTCACATTAACAGAGGGAGCGGATCATCTTCTCCATCTATTTGTGCAAAAACAATGTAGTGCCGCTGAATTAATTAGCTAATTAAACACACGATTTAATAGTAATAATGACCACTTTGTTCTGCAATATGTCGATTGAGTGTCGGCATCGTGGCTCTACGTAGTGCCACTGTTCTGCTGTTTTCATCCTCGGAGTGGTCGGGTACTCCCACGCGTGGTGGTTACCCCACCACTCTTCATCCCTTTCCTCCCCTCCCAGCCCAGCGTGTGGATCCAGCCGGAAATCGCCAGAAAAACTTTACCTCTTTATCATCACAGCCGCAAGTCAACAGTGACTGAGTACCCAGAAGCCCCTGGGTGGTGACTGAGTGCCTGACCTGTTTGACTCAGAGCTACTCCGCCGGATCTAAGTAGTGTTTAAGGGAGATACTGGGAATGTGAGTGCAGCTGAATGGCTGCAGCAGAGAGGGACTGATGCTTATGTTTCCCCCCCTTGTGGAGGATAAATGACCTGCTGAGGCAGGAACTGGTTGAGATGTACAACAAAAAAAGATGTAATGTGTAAGGAAAGGAAGTGTTAAGTGATGTATTATTCACTCTCTGGTGTTCTTTTCCAAACTATTATGTTGTTGTCTTGAGTCATGTGAGTGTTGAGGCACACAGTCACCAGGAGATGCTCTCTTAATGTAGCAGAGGTGTGGCAGACTGGAGTGCAACAGCAGTACATTGTTTTCCATTTGTTAAACTCCATTAGATGCCAAATGTATTGATTCATCACAGGCAAATCTCGCCTGCGTGGTCCACAAACCTCTTCTTCATTGCCTCGTAAGAGCATCGCCTCTGATGTCGGACTGAAGGTGAGTGCAGCGCGTGCTGAATCATGCACCTCGACGAAGTAACAACCAACAACATGAACAAGACTCTGTATGGCAGAACCAAAACCATGCAGAGCCTTAGGCACACAGAGTCCAGGCCTCAGCCAGGACTCTGTGACCGCAGGCGGGGCCACTTACCATGGAACCTCTCTTGTAGTGACTATACCATGTGCCTGGCGAGTCTTTGGGCCATTTTGCCATTTTGCTCTGTAAAATATAAGAGGCATTCAGGAAAAGGGAAAAGGACTTAGGAAAGTCGGGAGTGTGGCTTACCAGTTTACCACGTTTGAATTCACTGAACCATGAGCCGGGATTCTCCTTTGCCCAGGATGTGAGCCTAGCCTGGGGGCATGGATCGACAGAGAGGCAGAGGAGGCAAAAACAGCAGTGTTAAAGAAAAGAAACAGAACTGACAGAAAATCACCCCATCTCTTTTTTTCCTCCCCTCTTCCTCCTTCTGTTTGTCCTCAGAGGAGTCTTCCGGACCTGAAACAGTATTCAGTAAGATCAACCAGACCAACCGGTCCAGGGCAGAAGATTTTAGTAAGCCATTATGCCATTTTGTACAGTACAAACTGTGGCTGGCAGCTCATTGCTGCTGAAAAATTCACGAGTACACAGTGATTAATTAAGCAATGATCGCCTGCAAGGAGCTCTTATACCGCGGCCTCTATCCCTGCTGTTCAGTGCAGCCACGGTGCACTAACTTTGTTATGCCATTAAAAGCTGTAAATTGGCCAACAGGGCACAGCTCTAATGATCTCGACCATGACAATGATGGATTTCTCTAAAATTAGATAGCAGGGTTTGATATGGAACTGTCATCGACAGCTTAATGCGTTAATGAATGATGAGCCGGAGATGACTTATCGCCAGGAGATGGCATACATTAGACCCATGCTGCCTTGAAGGTGACCGTCAGTTGTTTTCACTGGGATGAACCGAGCCGAGGAGAAAATTATATATTCTTTCTGCGACTTTTTTTCTTTTTTAGCATCCGTGAGTTCGTGTCTGGCTTTGTGACTGTGATTCTGCACAGTGCGTGGACGGCGTATAACTGTGTGTGTGTGCTCTCATAATAGCCGTGCCAATCTATACGCACGTGGGTGTGTTTGCAGTCTCCACGCGGAGACTGAAAGCAGAGGCTTTTCTTCAGCCCATCACCAGCACGCTATGAAAAGTCTGCTTCATTATTCTGAGCTTAAGCAAACTCCTGCTCCTCTGAGGCTCGGTGAGTGGGATCATTAAAATGGCTGTAGCAGTGTGCTATTACACAACGCTGACTTGTCAAAGACAGCGTTTCCAGTGTTGCACCACTCTGCTCCTCTCCTCCACACACTCGTGCGTAATGAAGCGAATATCTTCTACAGTGAGTCTGTCACCTGCCAAAGGCTTTTCGGGTCCTTAATGGCATTCAATCTAAACATGGCACTGAAACAATAGTGTGGGTGGGTGAATGTGTGTGTTTGATTGAGGGAGTTGTCTCCCTGTGGTTACCAACTGCCAGAACTAAACTGAGATTTAGCTTTAGTTTGTAAAATGGCCCGTCGTTGTAAATGCAGGTAACCCTGTGGAGTCATCTCCCACATAACAACACACAAGGTAATCTCATGGAGGCTAATTATATGGGTACATGAGTCGATACAATAGAGTTACTGTTGCAACCATTGCTGTCTTGAAATGTTCGGGTTGTTTATACAGTATGTTCAGCGGTTAGTCCCAGCCGTGAGGAGAAAACACACTTATTTCACTGTCAATCAAATCACAAACTAGAGACTGAAAACAGTAAAAATGTTTTTTCCTTTCTCCAACATCATCTTACTGGAAAGAGTCCCAACATTTCTGTGTAACATATCCTCAACCTGGCTTTCCACTCTGTGTGTGTATGTGTGTGCAAGTGTTTGTGTACACGCGGCCAGACCTACCCCTTCAGACTTCTTATCTGGGAAGATGCAGCTCTCTCCACCTGCTGTGAAGTTGCAGTAAACCTTGAAGGAGTCCCGAGAGCAGCCCTGGTTTGGATCAATCCAGTAGTCACCTGGAGAGATGGAGATAAAGAGAGAGAGAGAGTGATTATAGAGTGGTGATATGATTTAAAGTCTATACTGTACTCCCTTAGGTCAAGGCAATGTCTGACATTATATGGCCTGTGCTAAATATATCTTGCATGTCTCTATGTCTCCACAGTCTCTATTGTGCGAACAATCTTATACAGAGATGTTGTACACTGCAGGAAAAGTCCCTAATATTGCCTTTCTTAAATCAAAAACAAAATAACTTGTCAAGCGGATGGAATATTATACGGAAATAGAAATACTTGCATTAACTAATGATATTTAAACAATTACAAGTACTATGCAAATCTTCACAAATGACAAGTTTGGCATTTCTGCCTGGAAAAATAACCTGAAAAATGACTTTAACAATTAATATATTGTCAAAATATGATGTATATATAATTAGCTCTAGTTGAACGACATACACTGAACAGGACATATTACAGGTCAGCTCCTCTGACCTGCCTAACCTTGGCTTTTAAGTGATGTTACTAAATGTGGGGGTGTGTACTGCAGTGTATGTGTGTGACATAGGTGTGGCTGGAAGGGATGTATGTTTTGGGTCTAAGTGAGGCTAGCAGCTCAAATTTGCATAGCATGAGGACAGGCCCCACTTTTTTTTCCTCTTTTTATCTATAGAGAGCTGTTGTGTGATAACGGCCATTTCAGTGGAGTAATTAAAAACTGTGGAGAGGAGGGATTGGACAATGGGCCTCATGCCTCATTTTAGACGGAGCATAATACGAACCATCTGGGAAATCAGGGTGGCAGAGCTGCAGGTCTTTGCAGGTACGAGCGGGGTTGCTCTGTGTGCCCAGCGGGTGCTTCATCTGCTCGATCTCCAGCTTCAGGGAGTTGAGCGAGCCAAAGATTTCCTCCATGCCGTCGTCGTAGTCCTTGTAGTTGGCATCCACGGCGGCGTCGTCCGACATCTCGCTGGCATCGATGCTTCTGCGAGTTCTGCCCTTCATGTTAGACATGATGGGGAGTGGGTGGATGACATCGCCGGGAGGGCCCTATTATGGAGAGATGAGAGACAAATGCCAAGTCAGAGATAAGGAGGGAGATTATGTAAATGTCTGGAGATAATGACTCACAGAAGGTGTGAGATACAAAATGATGATGGAGTCTTTGACTTACAGGAGGGCCGGGAGGTCCAGATGTACCGCTCTCTCCCTTTGGTCCGGTTTGACCCTGAGCAGGACAAATTAAAGCAATGCTTGATCTTAAACTACAAATGATTTCATGTGTCACGATTAATGCTTGTTACTGTTTCTGATGGGATGCAGCATTCAGTCAGACACTTACCGATGACCCTTTAGAACCTTTGGGACCGGAAGGACCCTGAGGACACAAATATGGCAAAGTAATCAATATTGGCTCAGGCATTGCACACTATTGAGTTAAGGACATGCTGTAGTACAATACATTTGAGGAATCTTACAGGTAATCCGGGAGGACCAAGGGGACCAAGTGGCCCTGAGGGACCTGAAATACCCTAAAAGAAAAATAAATAGAGAATGTGAATACATTACTGCTGTTTTTGACAACAAAAGAAGCATTGTTTCTTCCTTATGCTACATATCGACTCGAACAGAAAGCGTGGCATGACTCGTGTTGTTTACTTACATTGTCTCCTTTGGAACCATGTGATCCTGGTGGACCAGGAAGACCTCTGTCACCCTTCTCTCCCTGTTCACCTGGAGGTCCGATAAGACCAATAAGACCCGGATGGCCCTGAGGGTGGAGAACAACACACACACACACACACAGTCAATAATACACCATCACAAACATAAGCCATATGATGCATTTCTCTGGCTCACCCGTCTAATCATTACGGTAATGATTTGATAGCTGGAGGCAAACAACAGACCTAATCAATCTGTTAGTAAAGAGGCCCATTAGTCTTAGAATTAAGCCAATGCTCTGCATCAAAAGTTCAGTTGTGCAGGTAGCTCACCTTTTCTCCTTTGACACCAGAGTTTCCTTTCAAGCCAGGTAGACCAGGAGGACCCTGTGAGAGGGGGGACACATCGGAGAGAAAGATAACTGTTGAATGAGGATCCAGATCACACATTATGTGAGATTCCTCAGTTGAAAGTCAATTCTACTCACCATAGGTCCAGGAGGTCCATCTGGGCCTGGAGAACCAGGGAAACCTTGCTCTCCCTGCATAGAAACACAAATTGCAGTGTTTTTACCCCCTGGCTCATAAGAAAACACGATTCCATGAATAGCACGGCTCCTTTTATGTTCAGCAGTTTATTGAAAACCACATATGTACACCTGCTCTGTAAGCTGTTTTAACAATACCACACAACATTGAGATACGACTGTAATAAGCTGGTGTGATGGTAAGAAACACTTTACTTACAACAGGGCCAGGGATACCCCTGAGGCCTTCAGAACCGGGCTTGCCAGGTGATCCTTGAGGACCAACGGGACCTGTCTTTCCTTGGGGACCTTCCATGCCAGACTCTCCCTTTCACACAAAATCAGGACGCACACAAACCATTAGATTCTTGCTCATTTGTTGGTGACTTGAAATTGCTGGTGTACAATGTGCACAGAAAGTCTGCATTGGATGTATTACCTTGCCTCCTTTCTCTCCTAGTCTCCCCTCAGGTCCTGTGAGTCCAGGGGGCCCCTATTTAAAAAAAAAAAAACAATAGATGAATATTGTGGAATACAAAGAAAGAACATTTCAACACTTTGACATGGAAAACATTTTGCAACAACAAGGACAAGAGAGCAAAGGACAGTACTTACTCTCTTTCCTGGTGGTCCGGAGGGACCCGACTCTCCGGTGGGTCCAGGAGAACCCTAGTTTGAATTTTAACAAAATGAAAATTTAACAGTATTCATTTTGTGATTTAAATGGCCTTTATCCTAAAATAATTCTTCCTCGGCACATAGAGTTGTAGTAAAGTAGTAAAGTAACACAATTGGTAAACAACACTTACAGATTGACCAGCCTCTCCATCATCTCCTTTGTCACCAGCGGGACCATCTAACCCCTGCATACAAAATGAAGAGAGCCTCAGTCATGCTGCATTGCATCAAAAACGCAGTGTAAGGCATATCATTTTCACATTTCATTTGCTCATGCCATACGTACAGCTGGACCGGTCTCTCCAGGGGGGCCAGGGTCACCGGGGAAACCACTTGGACCCTGAAAATCAATAAAACTTGAATCACTTTGTTTTGGGAAAGATATTGAGCTGAAAGTCACAATGGTTGTCCTTTGTGTGAGGTAAAATCAGCTTTGAGGGTACATTGATTTGTATTGTCTGAGGTCGAAGGTGGAAAAAGACTTACTGGGCTGCCTTTGGGACCATCATCTCCAGGGGGACCCTTAGGGCCAGGAGGTCCAGCTGTACCAGCCGGACCGGACTCTCCCTTTTCTCCTCGCTCTCCTCTAGGACCCTAAAATATTACGCAGTACTTTAGTAATGAGGTCCTCGTAGATTGAAGTGGAAAATGACGAAGGTAACGTCAAAGTAAAATTTATAACAGCTTAATAATTAGATACACAGATTTGTAGTCGACCTATTGACCAACAGTGATTCAATTGGTGGTGAAATAGTCGGTTTGTTTCATTCGTTGCTGGTACTTATTTATGTAAATATGGAGGAAAGTAAATCGGATAACTCACTGCTGGGCCAAGTTCTCCCTGAAGACCTGGCTCTCCTGTTTCACCAGCATCTCCCTGATAAGAGAGAGAGAGAGGGGGAGTGGAGGGTGAGAGAGACACACAGAGAGAAAGGTGATTTGTTGATCTAACATGGTTCTAAAAATCCCATCATTTACAGCAGCCCTCACTGTCCCGGTACCCTTGTCACCAAAATGAGGATAGAAAGAGATGACATGAGAGATTTCAATCCATCAAGTGCGGGCAGATTGGGCAGCTGGAGCACCAGAGGGCGCTGACCTCACTGTTCTCACTGGAAGCGGCCCATATATCTTGTCCTCTTTCCCCCTGCCTTATTGGATAGTTGCTCTGTTGACTCACCTATACACTGGGCACTACCGTTATTTACTGTCACATAAGCCTACAATCCTCGCCGCCGGGGTTTTACTGCAGAGGCAGTCTGCCACACCTGCTTAAGGGACAAACGTTTGCTTTTGTCATATTTTGGAGACCAATCGATAGGACAGCTCTGCAGAGCCAAAGCCAAGCTGAGTGGTGATGTGTTATGATAAAGATATCCAGATTCCCTCTAGCAATGAACAGCAGCTCTGTATTGTGAACATCAGCTGATACGCCAAATTAGTGTGTGGCTGTCTTCCAAACCGTCTGTTGTTGCTGTCAGGAAATCCACTCTTACCAGTCGGTACGCCTGTTTCAAAGCATGACTGATCCTCCTGTATTAGAAGCGGGTCTTTATGCAACATTGCATCTGAGGAGCCCTGAACATCCTTACAACAACCTGCTAATGTTCACCTCGGGACTGCCTGGGAAATCTGCTGACAACAGGGAAACTGAGAGCATTAAAGACAGCTGCTCGTCACAGATATATGAGGGATTTGTTAACGAAAGAAGAAAAAAACTTGAGCTCAGTCGCTTGCCAGCTCCCCTGGACTGGCCAATAAAATGCCAGATCAGCTAAAGAGTGATTAGGCAAAAGAGCTGTGTTTGTTTGCACAGGAGAAGGACAGGCTATCCTCAGGGAGATTATAGAGGAGCAAAAGGTGATTCCATTGACTGAACCCGATTAAAACAAATCACACCATCACTACGGAGAGAAAGTGATGAGAAAGTGCACAGCACAGCAGTCCAGCTGCTGCCAAAGTAGGCCTTTTCATAATGAAAAAGCAGCAACAAATAGGAGCTGATTATATGAGCGCTCCCTTATAATAATGCATTTATCACACAGTGTCTTTGAGAATTAATTCATAACCTTTGCACCCAGCAATAGTACTGTTGCGGGTGGCAACATGTCCACTACATTTTCTGTGCATCTGTCAAATCTGCGGCAGAAATAAACGTCACGTCTCATTTAAAAGGTATCATATAAATAGGAATGGGAATATTAATGGCCCAGAAGCCTTTAAATAACTATCATTTACAGTCTTTACCACAAAGCACTCAAACAAACTGCTTGCGCCCCGAATCCGTCGCTTCCAAAGTGAAGTAAAAACCAGTCAACCGGACTAAAGCTGCATCATGTATTTCTTATAGGGTTGTTACAATAAAAAATGTGTATGTATTATGTAACACTTTGTTTTGTTGTCTGCGTCTCTGAAAAATGAATCGTTACTCAAACAATACACATCTAGAGAGATGTGGCACTCAGTGTTTTTTGGAGTGGGACCAGAGGTGCCATCTGGAACAAAAAGGCTGGAGCACGATGAATACATTGTCAATTTGAAAGAATACATTTCAGCAGGTTGAGTGGACTTCCATGATGGACAATCACAACAGCAACTCCCATCCACTTTATGAGCCATAGGCAGCGTTAGTCCAGGCTGGCTTCTCCCCGCAAAGTCTTATCCTATCTGGAGGTGGGTACCGCAACGCAGATACACAGCACTGCATACATGACTGAACAGTACAACACAGTATTAGCATGGGTGAGGGATGTTCCTTCTTCAGTTGAAATATTGTTTAAAGAGACAATTAAATCATAATGTCTGTGTGTAAATATGTGCACAAAATAGTTTTTGTAGTCAAATACCTAGGTTTAGCGTGTCGACATGTAGCACAATAAAATGTGCTCTTGTAGTTTGTTTACTGAAGTGATTATATTGTCTATTCACTTATTTGCTTGCCTGACAGATATAATTAGTATCAAATGAAAAGCGGCACAAAACAGCATAACTGAAATGATTCTTTGTTTTGGAGATGTCTGTGTTTACACTTACACCAACTAAAGAAGTGGCAGGTGTAATGTACAAACATTTCTTGCCAACAACAAAACAGCCTTACAGAACCTCAGCTGCACCGCTCCACTATCAAACCGAACGTAGAAGAGAGGTTTACCTTTTCTCCAACAGAACCAGGGTTTCCAATACCGCCAGGAGGTCCCTGAGGGCCATCAGCTCCTGGGGGCCCTGAGGGGCCTCTGGGACCAGGGGGGCCGGGTGGACCCTACACGGGAGAGACGATACGGTTTAATGAGTAAAGACAAACATCTGACGCAGGACGATGCAAAAAACCGTCTTGTATTGTGATGTATTGAATGATAACACAGTCCCTCGTCTATACTTACCATTTGACCAACGTCTCCAGTTTCACCTTTCTCACCAGGTGGACCAGGCAAGCCCTGCAGGAGTGTGCAGAGGGTTCAACAATTATTGCCTCTGTGTTTCACAATGACAACATTTGACCATAGTTTATATATTTCATCGCAGTCCGCACCTGCAGCCCGACTGGACCTGGAGGTCCGGGGAATCCTCTTGACCCTTCATCTCCCTTCTGGCCGAACAGACCCTGCTGACCTCTGGGACCGGGCTCGCCATCTGCACCCTGCGCAACGCGGAAGATGAAAGGGGTCACAATCAAGGAGACACAAAGCTTGGTGGGTGGTGCTCTAGATGAGGCGTTGGATGATCTGGACCCCCAATGCAAACTAGACACTTACAGCAGGACCGGGTGCTCCAACGGGCCCTTGGGGGCCGGTGGGACCAGGTGGACCCTGCAGAGGAGAAGGAACACATCGAAGGGACAATCAACTCAAATGGTCAAAACCCACAAATATACAGTAAAAATGGATCAGACTCAAAGCCTCCGGCGGTAAAATGATAAACAAACAATGTGTTTATGCTATAAATAAAGAACAACTTACATGCTCTCCTTTATCACCCTTGCCTCCTTTCTGGCCTGGCTCTCCAAGCTCTCCCTGTGGAATGACATGATCACAGCGTGAAACGAAGACAGTTAAAACTCTCAAAGTAAAGTCAGTAACACAAGCGAGAGGGAGATAAATATGTGTGACAATGAATTATGTTAAAATACCATCAAACACCTCATATCAAACATATCAAAGCACAATAAAACCTACACTCAGCTACATCTAAATTTCAGGGGGGGGGCTTATCATGATGGCTGAGTCACTGGTGCTACTAGCAGTCGAAACAGAATAGATAATTAGTCCCATCTCAACCTGTTTGCACCATGCATTCCCAGAGTGAAGAACCTTGCATCATTCTTTCAAAGCCTCCACATGCTGTGGGTGTTTGGAGAGATAATGTTAATATCTGTCCAAACCCAAAGGCATTTACTTTTGGGTTTGAGTCAGACGGTGCTCTTCATGAGGCAGTATTCGTCTTAAAATAAAGGCCTTGGAGTTGCCTTGGAGTTGCACCGGCCCTGGCCTTGCACCGCCGGGGCCGGTGCAAGGCCGGTTAAGAACTGAGGCATTCGTCAAACGATAAGAGATTATCCTCCGAGTATCTATGTGGCTGATCTTCCTACAAATATTTTTCGAGGGGATGAAGAGTTGTTCTCGCTCCTGAATACTAAAGGGTCACTTTCACACATTCCGCCATTGCCACAAAATTCCTCCCTCTCATCTGTCTGTTTGTAGGGAGGAGAACAAAGCTGCAACAAGGCAGGTTTGCCTTTTAAAGATCCGTTAATCAATGCAAACTCTGTCAGACAAATTCCCCTTGGAGCGTTTAAGGTCACAGGGAAAGAGACAAGAGGATGTCTGGCTTAGATCTCAACTGCAACGTTCAGTGTCTTTGTGAGGTTCTAGGTGTGCATTATGGTCTGTATATTAGTGTGTGAGCTCGCAAAAAGTGAAAACTTCAAAACAGTTTCACTGAATTTCATCATACTTCAAGCTACGTGGGCGGCAAAACGAGACATGAAGAGCAACCCACCTTGTCTCCGTCCTCCCCAGATGGTCCAGGAGGTCCTCCAGGTCCTGGCAGACCCACAGGTCCCTGAATACCGTCTCTTCCAGCTGGGCCTTGAGGTCCTTTCTCTCCCTGAAATATTTTTTTTTTTCACAATTTTGTCAGCCATGCTTTAATCTGTGATATTCGCTATTTTTCAGTACGTTGCAGCAATCTCTATAATGTGATGCTCTTACCGGTCCACCTTTCTCTCCGGAAGGGCCTGGAGGTCCCTGGGGGCCAGAACGTCCAGGGAGACCAGTAGGTCCGGCTGAGCCAGCAGGACCACGCTCGCCAGGAGAACCCTACAGCACCACCGCACAAAATATCAGAGAAATCAAGTGTTAACACTGAAACAAAATCATAACATCAGGCACATCTACCAAATAGGTCAGACCTCTCTTATGTAAGTAGCACACTGTGCATATCATTATATTATGTAAGTGCCTGGAACAACTGAGGGTGGGAACTTTGCCGTGAAGACAATACCCAGAGATGGAGACGGAATATGGAAGGTGAGAGCGAGAGTGGGAGAGACAAATTGAGGATGAGGATGCAGTAAATTGTACTCACAGCAGGGCCAGGTGGTCCATGAGGTCCTTCACTCCCTTTCAAGCCGTGAGCTCCCTGCAGAGCAGAATAAAATGAAGGCTTGAGAAAACAAACACATCTGTTGGGTAAGCACACGTCCTGCCTTGCGCTGGACTGCTGCGAACAGGCCCAGCGTGAAATGTAAAACCTCCTATAGTCCCCAAAGTGGAGGCTGAGAGCAGCCGGGGAGAAGAGTTCTTTACTAAAACTGCTGTGAACATCCTTTATATTACAAAGGAACAGGTGTGTCGTATAATTCCTGCATCCTAGAGTTAAACGAAAAAGCTTTCTGCAATTTAATTCTTTCTAACAAGTTGGCAGTAAGGAAACAGCGTGAATTGCATAACTAGCACAACATGACTTTGTCAAAGAATAAAAGATTTAAAAAATAAACAGCCTCGAGCACACTGTTCTCTTGTAAAGCCCACTCAGGGACGTGATATCATGTCTGATTCTTGAAGTTAACCAAAGTCTTACAGCGATTTAATAGCCCAGAACTATTATGCAACAACCAAGCTGTGAGAGATATTGACTTTGTGAGATGCTTTTGTTCTGAGCAGAAGGGAATACTAACCACAGGGCCAGGCAGACCTCTCTCTCCCGGGAATCCTCTTGGGCCTGGAGGGCCATCTTTACCTGCTGGGCCGGCAGGACCGAAGTCACCCTGTGGGTCAAAGCACAATGGCATTAATTCTATAAATGCATTGTTCGTGTCTTGTGATTGCATGACCCAAATTACACCCAGATGAGTGTAGTTACATCATCCTACAAAACAATGGATGGTTGGGAGCAATGTTATTACATGCATGATGCCGATGGAGCACTAAACAAAAGATACAACATTAAATAGAGCTTCAGGATTCACCTTGGCTCCTTCTTTCCCTGCAGCTCCCGGTAGACCCTGCTCACCAGGTGGGCCTGGGGGTCCGGGATGACCTCGATCTCCCATTGGTCCAGTCTCGCCTGTTGGTCCCTGCAATTTGAAAAAAAGATGAAATATAAACCCAGACATTACAGCTATAAAACCCAGTTGCAGAGGAGGTGTGAAGAAGATAAACTACAGTGAGAGGAAGACTGTGAGCAAAATCAGCAATTCAATACCAAAAAGATGTTACAATTTCTCGGCATGGAGAAGCTGAGCATTTGCTGCGTAGGAGGCCTACTAGTCATTAAGGCCACATACAGCTCCATTATCATCAATGTTCTCAGCCAGCATTAGCAGAGAGGCCGGGAGGGAAAGTCTGTTAAATGCTTATGCATAATGGACGAATTGCTAATGTGAAAGAGGATAAACAACACTTATGTCATGGCTGGTGAGATATAGGTACGAGGATAAATCCTTTCATTTTTTTGTGGGAAATTCAAAATGCGGAGAGCTTTCTGGTAGGTGAGTGCACCAGTGCATAAGTTGCACTGATAATACATGTGAGGGAGCCACACAGCAAGATGGTCAGTGACTGTGACCCACCTGAGGTCCAACCACGCCGGGAGGGCCAGGAGGGCCAGTCTTGCCTTGGAATCCCTGTTTATTACAGAAGAAACAACAGAGTTACATTACCATACAACTGACTCCATTGAATACAGATGAATTGCTGAATAATCAAACTAGTTTACTCACAGTCTCTCCTCTCTGTCCAGGATGTCCGGGCAGTCCGTCTTTCCCTGAAGGTCCCTGAGAAATACATATGAATGTGAGTGTAAAGAATGACAAAGGAAAAGCGTGATGGGTGTATATACACAGTTGTGTGTTTTTGAAAGAGTTAGAACTCACAGGAGGTCCCTTTGGTCCTGGGAAACCTGTTGGTCCCTGAGGTCCTGGAAGACCCTGAAAGTCACAACAAATGATTCCTGGTAAATAATCACTTTCCCTCTACATGTTATGAGAATTAAATTATAAACATGCGACGGTACGTACCCTCTCCCCGAGAGGTCCTGGTGGGCCATCATTTCCTGAGTTACCCTGAAAAGACAAAATAAGGAGTAAGTGGTGAACTTGTACCACAAAATACGCAAGAAAGCACCAGTGAAATATTTGACGCACCTTTGGTCCGGCTTTTCCTGTTGGTCCTCTTGGTCCTCTCTCTCCTCGAGGCCCCTTGAGAAAAAGACAAAGTGATTAAAATCATACAAAGTGTCCTAAGACGTATTTGTGACCTGAAATGACTCGGTTGAATCGGCGTGGGTTCCCCTAATGGAAGCCGAGGTTGAACTTCCAGTTTCACCCAAGTGCCAAGCTCGCCATCTGTCCACAAGCACGAGTCTGCTGAGTAAGACTAACCGTTGGTCCTCTCTGTCCGCGTGGGCCAGACTTTCCCGCTGTTCCCTGTGGACATGAAGGACACACACACACAAACACATACACACACACATGATGATCAAAGGAGTCGCATCATGGAGAGGCTGCTTCCTCTAAAAGAACCAATCTAATGGCAGCAGACATTTGCAAACAGATTTCAACAAAAATGGGCGGTTTAGGAGATCTGAGATCACCTTTTATCATTAATTAGGAATTAGCCATTTCAAAATTACCATAATTATTGATCATGACTTACATTAGATTCAGTACTTCCTAAGAATAGGACACTTTAATAAACAATAATGCATAGTATAATGATTTTAAAGTGATATTACTATTACAGTGGCTTCATACAATTTTAATGAGGAAAACAATTATAATCGTTTGTGTGGCTTTTAGGTTTTAAAAAAAAGAGCGCTGGAGCTACTTAATGGCATTATTATCCCCTTCTGTCTGGGAGCTTGGTCTCATAAACCTCGCAAATGTTTTGTGAAGATGAAAAGCTTTATGCGCTTTGTTCCACTCGCGGTGGCGAACCATTACTCTTGCAGCCATGCTAATGGCCCATCCCTTAAACAAAGAAAATGAAGCATTGCTCAAGGGCCGCAAAGTGATAAACAATGCTTTTGGTGGTTTGAAATGAGTTGCGTGAGTTGTAAAGAAGAAGGAATGCAATTGTCTCTCTGTCCTTGGTGAAAAATCTTTATTTTGGAGCCATGCAACTTCGTCTACATTAATAAATGTGGAGCTGGGACAGCAGCCTGTCTCCAACGCTACGCCAGTATTGATCCAACCCTTGTAGGAATGAGAAGAATAATAAGAAGCCTGTCTGACATACCCGAGTTCCTTTCTCTCCATTGGCGCCTGGGAAACCTTGGAAACCTTGAGATCCCTGTGTGAGAGTAAGAGAGTAATTAATCATTTGAGAGACAAGGGATATAATATTGAAGGTTTGTTTACTCCCCTGAGATATCCCGTGCATATTCAATGAAACAGGAGATAGATTAAGCCGTGGATAAAAGCAGTGTTTTATTGTTGTCATGCGAAGAGCTGAGAGCTGACACCAAAAAGCATATTCAAGTCCCCGGCTCTTTGATCGGGGAGCTTCAAGCATGTCCACTTGTCAGACTGCGGCTTTGCTAAAGAGGCTAAAAGGATGAGCCATCAAAAATTCAGCAACGCAGACTTCACATGTATGAACTTTCCTTCAAATACACACAGAAACGCAAGTGTGTAGGGACATTGTGGCCAATTGAATTGGGTCCTTTTATCGATAGCGGTTTAAAGTTACTCTGTACTGATCCCTGAGCAATACATGTACGCATTTACCTTTGGTCCTTGTCTTCCTGGGTATCCTGGCAATCCGGGGACTCCAAGTTTACCCTGATAATGAGAAAAGCCAAATTAGAGACAGATTAACACCGTGGTCCAAATTGATTCTGAAATTTAGCTCCTTCCAGAGCCACAGAGGACATTATTTACTGTCTTTTTCTTTGGTCCCACATTGTGTAATTCTTTTGTACCCGATGCTTATGATGCGAAAATGAAACAAATGAGACCCCTGGTATTAATCTGACTTCATATAAGAAATATATTGTATTTTAATGAGTTATCAGTAATGCAAAAATATTAGAATCAACAGTAGAATTTATATCCAAAGTTGATCTCCTAATGAGTAGCTTTCCAGCCTAAATACACGGCAAGCCGACTGCACTATACTTCTACCCGTACAGCTGTGAATGTATACAGAATAGTAGCGTTATTCTAGCAGTAAAACTAAATTAACATATGAAAACCTGCTAAACACAGCTCCAGCGTTTGAATGATGAAATGTTGGCGTCTGTGCAGGCTTCAATCAAATATGAGAATGACTCAGCTGTCCCCTCATGTGTGATCCAGATACAGACCGGTGCCCACATCTACCATGCGGTGTTACCGCCATAATGCAATTCAGATTAAGAGCACTTTAAGCTTTAAGGATAATCAACACATCCACTGTGGTTACTGTAGAACACAACCACAGCTGTCATTCCAACGTTTGGCCAATGACTTGCCGAATTGGATTGTGCACAAGTATGTGAGCAGAACGACTACTCAACACTGAGAGGCCACATCCTCTAGAAAAGAACCATAAAAAATGTGTGAGGGATTGTCGGCAACAGCTAACCCAGTGTTCAATTTAACAATAAGGAATGTTTAGAACCACTTTATGCTCCCAGCTGGTTAAAGAGCAGAAGCAATGAACAATGTGGGTTGATGTTCAAGCCCTGCTGAGCTATCATCCTAGATCAAACATTTAGGACACATTATCTGTAAGGTGTGAGTGTTTGAGTCGTGGAAGCAAAACCGGCCAAAGCAGCTTACCTTGTCACCACTCGTTCCGAGAGGACCGGCATCTCCTGGGAGACCTGAGCGACCTTTCGGTCCCTCGGGACCATCCTCTCCTCTGGGTCCTCCTGGTCCAAGCTCTCCCTGGAAAGCACAGGAAGGGCAAAGCACAAATATCACATGACTTATACTTCAACATAATCACCTCGCATACTTGTACATACTTTATCCTAACTCTGGGTGTATTTGCTTATGTTACCGTGTTCTGTAAACATTACATGAATATTTCATGTTGTAGAGACATACTTAAGATTTGAAACCACATTTTCAGGAGCATTAACAGTAACGGGGAAGTCATTCGATATATGAGGTAATGTCAGGTCATAACGTTTTCATTTGTGTCGCAACCTTTTTTCTTGTAAAGCAAACAAGTCCATCCGCTCTGGGTGACTCGGTTCGCCCTTTTTAAACAGTTGCGAGCGTCAAGTTGTAGAAATAATCAAGTAAAGCTATTTTCCCATCGCCGCCTGCCCCTCAGAGCAGTAAGCGATCCTATTATTGCTTCTCTCGGCAAGCGTGCTCCCCTTCTAGCAGTCACCGGCTAAATGACGGAGTACAAACTCGCTCTGACAAGCAGTCGCTGCTGCGGAGACCCAGTGGTGTGTGAAAGGTATCTTAAAATTAATGAAAGGCCCCCACTCAAGTCCACATAAAACGGCATCAAGCAAACTGTACTTGACTCACACTTGCAAGCTCATCAAAGAGAACACTTGAAATTAAGCACTCTCACACACTCACTCACACACACACACACACACACACACACACACACTTTCTGTAGGAATGCTTCAAATGAGTCATTTAGATTCTAGTCCATGTGCGACTCCTCCAGAACAGAGGGCCTCCTCAAATCCTTGCTTTCATCGGGATCCGCTACATCTCCGGAGGAAAAAGGGGTGTCTCTCTCTCGGGTTTGAAGGGGTTTAGAGCGCCATTGATTTCTCCTTCCTTTCTGTTCTCAGCTATGGTCAGGGATTGGGGGATTGATGTTTGAAGTACGGGTTATGTTTCTCACTGTAAAAGAGTTTCCCGACTACTTGACATTGTAAATCCCTAATGCAGTTTGCAGAAGGAAACTGTTCCTGGTTACACCTGTCAAACTTTAAGTTGCCGACTGGAAAGTGACAGATGGGGCTAGAAAAGGGATTTGAAACTGCTCACGCAAACACACGCGCACGCACACACACACGCTCACAGCTGGCAAGAGGGGCAACACCTTATGTTTGCTCATTACCCACAATTCCACAGAAGTCACAGAGGCTTAGGCTAACATCTCAGGAGGTGGCTGGTGATTTCACTGAGTTCAGGTAAAGGTCACCTCCCCAACAAAACCAACGTTGAGAGCAGACGAAAGAGTTGTCTAATTAGCTTTTTTTCTCAGAACGACGTTTCAAACGTTCGAGATGTGATTGACACAATGTAAACGAATAAGCCTTACCCTGTCGCCTTTGATTCCCATATCTCCCTTGAAGCCGAGGAAGCCATCTTCTCCCTGGTGAGAACATGAAGGAGGCAAAGAGGTGAGGATGCAATGAAGGATAAAGAATGGAATATTACAGATGTTGAAACCATTTGTGTGGTGTTAACACCCAGAACACACTCAAAGGCGAGCACACACGCACACACACACACACAGATGCGAGTCTTGGCAAGATCCCCTGTTGCCATAGAAACTCTTGATCGCCTTTTTTTTCTCTCTTCCGTACCAGCGTCGGTTCAACAGGATTTCATTGAGATCATCATTAGTATGAAACATTCCATGAAGGACCGCAACAAATATTGAGTGTAATTCATACAAATACTACAATTTCAGTCTTTTCCTTTCACACAGACACTTTCTCAGCAAATAAGCCCAAGCTCTCTTACCTTTCCACCCTTATGTCCTTTAAGACCGCGAACACCGTCCGCTCCCTGTGATGCAAGAACACAAAGATGTTACAGGCCGATAGCTAATTGTCAGTTCTCTTCAAATGTGTCAAACAAGGGTGTTATGGAGGGTGCACAATGTAATGGGTTCATTAAAGTGTCTACAGATTAGAGAGTGACTGTAAAAGCATTTCAAATCCTCACAACTACTTTTTTCTTGACCATTCTTCTCATCCTTCCCCGAGGGAGCAGACACTTCAGACTTCAGCCATGTAAGTGGGGGACTTTTAGCAAGAAGTCAAAGCACTTGTGTGATCCCCTCTCTCAGTGGGAGCTTTAATGATTGGATCAGTCACGCCCTCTTTCCAAGATTTTATTTGATGAGATTTCTTTCGTCTTGGTTTTATCGGCGGCTGATAAAGGGCTGTGCGCCTTGAGCTGTCATCAGCCCCTGTGACTAACCTTACGTGAGCAAAGTGATGTAAGATCTGAAAAGATGACTTTCCTGTCCTGATCTATTCATTACAAAGATCGTTTTCATGTCTCTGTAACTAAAGCAGAGGCTATTCTATTCCAGACAGTTCCTGGCAGCTAGGCAGCTAAGGCTTTTATTTTGTTAAACTACAGCTTTTTTACAAAATAACACTTAATTGCTGGAAAGATTTTAATAAGATAATTGCAGGGTACCCCAACCTAATGATATCAAAAATGGGTTTATTAGAGGTCGATAATCTCACCTTCACGCCTCGGGGCCCAGGATAACCAATGGGTCCTTGAGGGCCAGCAGGGCCCTGGGGACATAGATGTTTAGCGAGAGCTTGTAGCACACACACACACAATTACAATACACACACAGTGCTAATGTTATCTACATTTATGCAAAATGTTTTATGCAAATGTGTGTCTAAACTAGGACAAAGGGAGAGGAAAGAAACCTAGAAAAGCTGGAATAAATTCAGAAAAATAACTAATGTAGTCTCCAAACATAAGAAAGGCAGAGAAAGAAATAAACCTCACCAGGTGTCCTTTCTCTCCAGAAGGCCCCTCCTTTCCAGGGTGACCCTGTGAATTATTAAGAGGAAACATTATTGAATCTCATCTCAGGATAATTACCACCATAAATACTACAACACCCACCTATAACTGAGGGATTACGTTGTAAAACTATGGGAGGATGTATCAACGTGGAACATTGGAATAAGAGCCTTTAGAGTTCAATCTCATTTGGGCTTTTTAGCCTTAATGCACAAGTAATATAGAGACACTACCGGCTATTACTGGGCTCTAAAAGCCAAGACTGCCGTTTTGGGACTTCACAATACATTACACACGAACCGTACACATGCGTGTATGCAAACACAAAATTCAGATGATGCAAAACACAAGAAAATTGATTGCATTCTCGTGAGACAAAGGAGCTCTGCAAGGCCTCTGATGGGCTTTTAGTGATGTGAGAGAGGATGGAGAAGGTAATAGATACGAGGGAAGACAGAGATGAGGGGCAAGGAGGGAGCATTGAGATTGAGAGAGAGAATATTGCGGTTGATGGAGGAGGCAACACGTGGATGAATAAAAAATAAGCAGAGTGTGTCAATGGCGGAGAGCTATTTCTAATCCAAAAAGCCATTAAAGGACCAGGAGACATTGTACGGTGTGCGCTCTCCTCCAGCTCTAATTCCTCTTTTTCGCCAAACCGCTTGTATTCTACACCGACTATCCGACATTCTTTCACTATATACAGTTATTCATATTTCACCTTCTCTTAGTGGACGCCTGGGGCCTTCTAAAACACCGCGGCCCTGCCATTAGCGCAGGTGTCTTCAGTGCCGTCTGTGCAAAGATGTGCGTGGGCGGGTTGTTCAACTGTTACACAGCTGTGTGAATGTGTTGTATCATACATATGTTTCAGACAAATAATCATCTCAGTGTGTCGTTAAACGTGGAAATTCCATGTACTGCTTTGAAAGTGTTGTTCTTCACAGTTATGAGAAATTATAAGCGGAGCTGTTTCACCTTGCATACATTTCTTTAGATGTGTGTGGTATGTATGTACTCACCGGTGGACCATCAGCTCCTGGCACTCCCGGCAAGCCTGGCTTCCCTGTAGGACCCTAGACAGAAGACAAGATGTTAGGACAGAAAAGACATCACTGAGTAAGACAATCAGAAGTTAAAGGTATCATAAAAGTCTTGCTAACAGCTCTGTCAGGCTGTACTTACACACAGTGTTGTATTGAGCTTAAGGCTAACGTCAGCATGCTAACTTCTACTTCTTCAAACCAACGTTTTACATAATTAACAATCTATTCCTTATTTTATTATATTTTTGCTTCATCAAATATCACAGCCTTCTAGTATTTCATTCATAAATCAGGAGAAACATAATACATACATTATTCATTCTCACGCTGTTCAACAACAAACTGGATATAAACAGGTAAATGTGATTTAGCTGAAATTGGATTAAAATGTATCGGGATTAAAATCTGTCTACTCGGCACTATGTGTGTCCTGCGTTGGGGATGGGGAGCCGTTTGCATAATAGTGTGATAAGCATTTGGAGCTGAATAAGAGCAACTTGGCTTTCAGCTCATGCAAATTAATAAGACAACTTCCAACAATTTTACAGATTTCGGGTCTGCGTTTATTAACATTTTATCAAGCTGGCAGATTTTTCTTTTCCTGTGGAGTTGCAGAAACGGCACGTTACACAGTTATTGTAACACGGTGATCATGTGATATCTTACCTTATCTCCTGGCGGTCCGATGGCTCCTTGGGGCCCTGCGAGTCCCTGTGGAGAGGATAGAAAATGCTCAGAACAATTTATTTGACGGATGAGAGAAAATCAAACGTCGGACAACCTGTTCATCACTGACCTGGGTACCTGGGTTGCCTTGCTGTCCAGGAGGTCCTGGCTCTCCTTGAGGTCCCTGAAGAAAAACAAAAGTTAATTTTAGAAATCTCATTTAAATACTTTAAATTATTTAGTTGACTAAAACCTCCCTCGTAAAGGGAAGAGAAATCCGTTGCTCCATAAGGTCCATTAAAGACGAAATACTTCCCTCAACCGATATAAATCAGAAGCTGTCCAACAGTGCATCACTGCATTATTACATTCTTATACCTAAAGAGGCAAATAGCACAATATCTTGCTTGGGACACACACACACACACATTCTCACACCTGCTTTCCTAATGACAGAAAGTGCTGAACCACAAACACACGTTCACTCTCAGATACCTGGCAATCAATTACATGGCCCTGGTCCAAGAGTCTGGGAAAGGTGTTGATCTCCATTTCTACCTACTTGGAACATTCCCAACAGAACAGTCAAGCTGCTTCAGCCAAGTATTCTCTCATTACGGTCAGGCGCTACAAGAAATTGACCTGGAACGATACAACCGGCGGTGGTGGACTGCTCAAATGGACCTAAACACAGCCGGTCTATTCTTCGTTATCCGTTTAGTATCCTCTGATTGTACTGGTGGGTGTTTCTGTGTGTGTGTGTGTGTGTGAAGAGGAGTGTTTAACCCATGTTGTGGGGACATAAATCAGATCACACAGTCACATTGTGGGGACTCACCATTTATTTTGGGACAAAATGGGGACAATTGCACTTCCCGAAATTGCACGTTTTTTGGTTTCATTTGGGGAATGATACGAAACATTTGAATCAATTCCAGCTTCACTTACTATGTTTCCTTTGGGTCCAGAGTGGCCATCCGTTCCAGTAACGCCCTACAGCATTGGAGATGAACACAATGTTTAGCACATATAAAGGACGGCCAGCACATCTGTAATACACTGAAAAGGGGATAGTATTTCGGCGACACTTTTAGCTTTCGTTGCGTTTTTTTGAGGGTATGATTTATTGTATGTGATATCTCTACTTCCTGCACAGGGATATCAGTGCAAAATAAGCCACTTGATTGATGCGCACTGTCCACGTTAAATTAAATCAGTTGAAACAGTATTTACATTCAGTTTTAGCTTTGCTGTAGACATTTGTCTGAAACGCTTAAGTTTAACTCAATAATGTATGCTACTCTTTGTGTATGCTGTCTGAAATATATTGAGTTAGATTTCCCTGTGGGTGTTGTTTCCTGTTGTTTTATGAGATGGTAAAATAAAAAAATATGATTCTGCTCACTAAACAGTAAATCTAATGAACCAGCATGGATATGAAAAGGTGAGAGGAGGGTACGGGGACTCACAGGGGGTCCTGAAGGTCCCTGAGGTCCTTTTGGACCCAGCAAACCACGGGGCCCCTAGGGAGGAAAAAAAAACAGGAGGGAAATGAGATTGAGAAGGATATCATACCTGTCAAAGGCTTGATGAATTATTAAACACTCAGGTATTAAAATGATACTTCTGGAAACAACCTGACACCCCAAATGTCCTTGAGGATATTCTACCAAGTCAGATTGTGATGGAAAGCTGAAAACCCTTCTTTTTTCTCTCTCTCTTTACTACACATTAATTCCCCACAGCTATGCCTGTCAAACATTGCTTTGAATTTCTGTGCTTTGCCTCATAGCTACAGTTACCTAACGAGACCTGCTGTCATGTCATTGTGAATGCAAACCAATGTAGCACACCCTGGTGGACAAAATAAGTCACAACAGCAGCTATCAAGCGCTTTCTGTTGGTTTCTCTTTCCCTGTCTTTCTCCTCCGTGGGGAATATCCCGCCTGAGTGAGTGGGAGGCTATTATAACAAGCTTGATGTGAGCTGCCTGCATTTCTCACCTCCAAAGCTCCTCTTGTACAGATGAAACACCAGCAAAGCCTCATCAACATTCACTTTCCAGCAATATAACGCTGAGAAAAACCTCAATTTATGTGAATATGAACAGCGGCTGCAGTATGCAGATGATGTATCAGATCCCTTGATTGTTCGGCAACACAATGACACGATGAGAGCCGGCCCTCTCAGCTCTATCGAACTCAAAACTCAGAATCTCTCGGTGTAAGATCGAATGGTAATACGTGGGATCACTCACTGGTTCACCAGGAAGTCCCCGGGGCCCGATCTCTCCATCATCTCCCTGGGAAAGAGAGAGATAACGGGTCAGAGTGAGGAACAGACAGAAAATATGTGTGTGTGTTATGAAAGAGATAATGGGAAGGCACGGAGTTAAAGCCGGGGAAAGAGGGGATCAGGTTGCATCAGCTGTGGATAATGAGGATGGTGAGGGAGATTACAGGCTGATAAAGGTGTGCAGAGATAAAAAAGATAAATATTTAGTGGAGTGGCAAGTCAAAATTCTGGGGCTGACAAAAGAAGGTGACTTTGGTAAGAGGAAGACGTAATATATCTGACTTCCTGTAGCATAACAATAACGACTAAGGGGGGAGGAACATCAGACACAAGCATGCACATGCTGCTTCTTTGAAATGAAAATAGAAAAAGAGAGGCGTGAAATTGTGATTTTTCTGTTACCCTTTCTCCATCCTCTCCAGGACCACCAGGAGGTCCAGACGGGCCAGATTCACCCTATAACAACAAAACATTTAGATTAAACAGTGGCACGCGTCAAAACAATACACGCACGTACAAAAACACACTTTTCACGGCACCACAAAATAACTTACTCTGTGTCCTTTCTCACCGGGAAGTCCGGACAGTCCATCAAACCCTCTGTCTCCCTGAAGAGCAAAGAACAATCAGGCTGCATACCTCTTGTACAAGCTTCAAAAACAGGCTTTTAAACTGGTATTACGAAGCACGGCGCATTGAAATGCATTATGAATGTGGCGGGCAAGGTACCTTGGTTCCAGACTGTCCCGGCATGCCCCTGGCACCGTCGGCTCCAGAACGACCCTGTAAAAATGAACACAGTTACATAACATGACTGTTAACACACGGCCTTGTGAATATACTACGAAGGCTAGAATATTCCTGGCTTTTAAATCTAAAGCACGACCAAATGTTTATATGTCTTTGCTGTTCTCGACTCAGTTTGTGTTACACTTACCCTTCTGCCAGGCTTTCCGGTGGGTCCAAAGGTACCCAAAGGTCCACGTGGTCCCTGAAACGAAAACACTTAGATTAAAACTCAACTTTTTTAAACACACTTTGCTTTAAACATACTAAAACAAGAAACACTGCATACCACTTTGATACTAAAGGGTTGCAAAAATAATGAGTTTGAACTAATCCAATACTACACACTTAGTTGTTTCTGTTTTTCAGATATATATATATATATATATATATATAAAAAAAAAAAAATCTCCTACCTGAGGGCCTGGATCTCCAGACTCTCCCTTCAGTCCTGATCCACCAGGAGGACCCTGAGAGGAAAGAAAATAAAAAGCTTTAATACAAGTCTTCAACTCAGCCACAAACTGTTTGTATTATAACTGTTGATTATTTTTTTTACACAATATTTCTATTGATATTTAGTCTGTGTCTGTCGTAAGGTGCTTTGAAATACATACCAGAGGGCCGGATCTGCCAGTCAAACCCATTGGACCTGTAGATCCGCGCATAGCCAGCTGAATACAGGAGGGAAAGAATAAGCAATAAGAGGAAAGAATATATATATATATATATGTATATATGTATATATATGTATATATGTATAT